AAATAATTAATTATGATAATTAAAAATATTAATTTTTAAATTAATTTTAATTTAATTATTTTATTACTTATTAATTATATTAATAATTATAATTATTAATTATTTTTAATAATTAAATTAAATATTTTTTATATGTGATAATAATTACAACTATGTAAACATGTATTATGAGAAAAAGAGCAAGAAGTTTAGGCCTACTTTCTTGGCAACTTCAAGGGCATTGACTGTCATAAAAATTAACAAATCCTGGGTCAGTCAATGCATACCCCACCACTATTGATTTTTCTGCACTGAATTTTCCAAGAAAGGCAATCAAACGAAAATACACTTCAGCTGATAATCTTATAAAACCAAAGAGTATATAAGTTACTCCAGAGAGAGAAGAAAATAAATAATGGAGGATAACTGTCAAAAGCAGACAATGATAAAGTACAAAGAAAAATGGAGGAGAAGAACAGAAGAAAACACATGAATAATTTCAGTATAGCAATTCTTAAGAAAAGAGGAATCATTAAAAAGTTCAGAAATCCTAATTTTTTTCCTTTGGTCTTCATTCAGAAATCCTTCAAGCAGCGAAAATAACAGCAGAAGTTGCTAAAAGACTAAACTTTTCATCCATATGAAAGCATGGGTAACAACACCAAGATAATATATTTTGTCACGAAAGGAATAAAATCCAACAGAAAACACAAAAATATGAAAAGAAGAACAAAGGACAGGATACAAAATTGATGTTTGATTTCACTTTAGTGTTTGAATGCAATACTTCCTTCCATTTATTTATAATGGCCACGACAAATCCAAAGAAATTCACAATTAAGGAACAATGAAAACTAAAAGTTTAGGATAAATATTGACAAGTAAAAACTAATCAGACATGAGAGATACTCCAAAAACAAGAACAAGGAAAGACATCAAGGTCATAATGATCTGGCATAATAACAGTCATTCCTCATGCAAATACACATAGAGAAAGAAAATGCCTCAGTTCACATCCCTATTATTTTATTTTCTGTAAAAATGAATGAAGAGAACACTTAGAATATCCATCAAAACACTAGAATTAAGATAACAACATTGCTCTAATAGATTAAAAAAACCAAGAAAAGGTAATTCTTTCATACCCAGAAAACGAAGCCCTAGAAAACTAAGGCCAAAGACCCTAAAAATAATCAAAAGAAAAAAATTAAAAAAATAAATAAAGAAACAAAAACAAAGGCCAATGCCTGTTGTTCAGAGTTTACACTTGTCCAAGGGATTAAAGAAACAAATAAAAAAAAAAAAAAAGAACAAATAACCAACATAGAATACTTACAAAATTAAACACATTCAAGAAGAAATAAGAACAATTAAATAAAAAAGAAGAAGAAGAAGAAGAAGAGTTGTAAGACCTGTGTAATGAGGGTAGTGGGAAATGCAGTGGAATCCAAAAGATAAACCCAGAAGCAGAGACAGAAACGCCCTTCTTCAGCTTCAATCTCCACTTTGAAATCCTTTAGCAAGGAGTAATCATCAGTATTTAGCACATTATTATCATCCCCCATCCCCTCCTTTGCCTCTTGAAAAAACCAAAAAAGAAAAAAAAATCTCCGTTTTTCGAGATAAGATCAGAAGAATCCTCAAGAACAAAAACCCACAAAAGTAAAACCCTT